CCATCAATTAAAATAGCAGCACTTCTCCAAACTTTTGACCCACTCTCCCTGCTTTATTTTTCTCCCTAGCATGTGTCTTTTTCTGATATATTCTTACTGTTATGTTTTATTAGTTGTCTCTCTCCTCTAAAATGTAAGATTCATGGAGCTATCTTTTTAAATTCATCAGTCCTCCCAAAGTTCTTACAACAATTAAGTGTTTTGTAAATATATGTTAACTAGATGATTTAATATATATGGGTATCTATCAAAAGATATGTTTAGTTAAGTAAATACACCCTATAATATAATAGTAGCTAACACTGATTATATTATATTCTTAGGGTGTTGTAAAAACTGTGCTGAACATCTATGGATTTTGCATGGATTATTTTGTTTAGGCTTCACAGCAACATAGATACTACTATTGTTCCTTTTTTAAAAAATGAGAAAATTAAAGAAAAAGATTAAATTATCCAATGTCCTCCACAGATAAACTGAAACTTTCTTGATTTCTCATAATTTTGGCTAAATTACCAAGACAATTATCCAAGTTATAACTATAAATGATAGAACCCACTCATTTTAAAGCAGGGCCAATATATACATCTCTGTAAAACTTCACGGAAAGTATATTAGTCTTACCATCGGTATTAGTCCATTTCCACGCTGCTGATAAAAACACCGAGACTGGGTAATTTACTAAAGAAAGAGGTTTAATGGACTTACAGTTCTACATGGCTCGGAGGCCTCACGATCATGGTGGAAGGCAAGGAGGAGCAAAAGTCACGTCTCACATGGATGGAAGCAGGCAAAGCGAAAGAGCTTATGCAGGGAAGCGCCCCTTATAAAAACCATCAGATCTTGAGAGACTTATCACTATCACAAGAACAGCATGGAAAAGACTTGATCTCGTGATTCAATTACCTCCCACCTGGTCCCTCCCACAACAAGTGGAAATTCAAGATGAGAGTTAGGTGGGGACACAGCTGAACCATATCACCATCATCAGATCATCACCTACATCCAAAGTATACAAAGTGAAGACTAGGAATTTGCATTGTCTTTTCAGGTAGTCATTAGTAGATTGATGGAGATGACTGTGGCTTTTCCCATCTTCCCTATTCCTTCCCCCAACCCCCCTCCAAGGGTTATGCTGCCCAAGAGAACAATCCAGAGATGCCGCATCTTTCTCCTCTACTTGCTGATCTTCAGAAACTCACAGAGCAGCTGTAGCTCATTGCACTAAGATGAAGTGCAGTCAGAGAATTCTCAGTAGCTTCATTGGTGTCCTCTGAAGTTTGGGAGCATGCGTGACCATAGAACCAGACATCTGCCTCCCACTGCAGAATGCTAGAGCTAAACTGATAGCTGAAGCAGCCCCTGATGGTAGGACTTGAAGATGGGGAGCCACACTTGGCTACAAGTTTCAACAATTTGCCATGGCAGAGCCAGGCTTAATCCATTTTGAAGGCCTCTATTTATGAAGGTGGACTACTGGGTTAATGGAAGGTCAACAGGTAGAGAGACCATGGTAAAAACTCCTAGGTGTTGGATCTAAAATAGGCATGACCAGAAATCAGCCAGAGAAGACATCATCAGTATCAGACAACCTTGCTGTGCCGAAGTCCCCACAAATCCTCCAAGGATCTAAACGTGATACAACCTCGAATCTGGATGTCTCCCCCAACTCAGATGTTGACAGCCAATTGGTTATTGGTAGCCAAGGGAAAATAAAATAGCAGGACCGAAGAGGTAAAAATAAGTAAATAAAATGTTTGCACCCTTGTTTTTAATTCATTCTCTTCATTATACTATTTCAGATTTCCTGTAAGTCAGGTAGGAAGGAGGGAGGATAAATGAATGGGCCCTCCACCAATGCAAGGCCACAAGCCCCACACTCAGCATGAGGTGGGATAGAGAAGATAGTTGCTTTTAACTAGATTAATATTTAAATCATGTTGTTGCAGTCTCTTCTGAAAGGTATACAGCTCTATGTAAAAACTCTTTTAATTGAAAGTTGTCAGAAATCTAAGCAAACCGTCCTAAATCTTACATAATCAAGGGATGAAGAAGGCAAGATCAAAACAAACATGTTGAAAGCAAAGTCAGAAAAATGTTTCTCTCCTTTACCCTGAGATCAAATCATCCTATAAACAAGTTATAATGATGATATGCATGCTATATAGACCTTAACACATAATAAAATGAATAATTAAAAAGGAATATGAAATAATCCTCATGATCTTTAAAAACACTAAAGCATTGCAAAATCTGAGCTGGAAAGTCCAGTTTTCTAGCTTGGTATCAAGGGTCTAGATTTCTGGTGTCAGTCCTGGCATAAACAAACTATTTTGGACACAGACTCCACAATTTCAATTTTGCATCTGTTTCAATAGTTATATATGAAATCTGAAATATACAGCAAAGAACAACTTACTAGGGAAGACACAGTTAATATCATACTTATCTGTTAGGAAAGCATAAGATTACCAAGACTAAAACACCTTCATAAATACAAAATAGCGGTACGCCAGTCTGGTAAAATATATTGTGTTTAACTTTTTAATTCTCAAACTCCTGAGGTAGGTTCATTGTTATTCCCATTTTACAGATGCAGAAACTAGGCATGGAGAGATTAAGAAAATTGTTATTAGCTAGTAGGTGACAGACAAGATTCAGTCTATGCTTCCTCTTACATTTATGCAAATGAGACATCTTAAGTAGCAAAACAAAACTAGCCCAAATTCTTCAAAAGTTGAGATGAAATTATAAGAGAGTTACTCCCTTTTGTTTCCCTAAGAGCCCAAGAATCCTAATGCCAGAGGTGTCAGTTTTGAAAAATTTCCGCTGCCCATAGTTGATTATAACGCTATTATAAAATTCTCAATGCCTGTCTCTTCTGAGTTTTCAAACACAGTACAGTGGGCAGGGATTCCTTTAAAGCCAAATTTAGCTGGAGGGAATATATTAATCATTAATGTTTGACTGGCCCCAAAGGCTTGGTTTTTCTATTCTTTTATCTTTATACTTACTTCTTATAATACAAATTGTACAAGGATACATATTCCTGCATATTTTTTTTATTCAAAAGCTTGAATATATATTGTGTCATGTTTTTGATTATTACTTTAGTAACAGTCCAGCTGATACAAATGTTAAGTGTTCAGAACTAATGCATTAGCTCCCGAAGCTGCTAGGAGTGTTACTGCCAATGGCTCCCAGTTGAGTTTATCTCTAGGAATTGTCCTTGGTTGAAAGAAGTTGCCTCAGTCAAGATTAAGACATTTCCTTGAAGGCTGCTTGAATTTAGTGAGTAGTCAGAGGTGTGGTACAAAGATCTGGATCCCCTGACTCCATAGATACAATCATGAAGGGCTACCCCAGTTACAGGAAGCTCCACGGGATCACTTGAAGCCTCTGGTGCAATATGTCGCAGCTTAATTTTACCTTCTGCCCAGTCTTGCCTCCCTCATCCCTTACTTGTGTTGGTCTCTAGTAAAGGCACTCAAAATAAATCTACCCTTAAATCCTAGAGTCCTGGAGTCTGTTTTCTCAGGAATCCAACATAAGAGAGTTGGTTCTGGGAATGTTCCTAGGAAGCAAACCCCAGAAATGTGATTTTAGAGCTAGATTTGCTGTGGGTCATATGGTAATAAGGACACCATCACTGGAAGTAGATGAAGCACTCTGGCATGTATTTGCAGGGCAATTAAAACTTATACCAGTGATGAACGAGGATGAGATACTAGTGAAATGTAATGCACTGGCAGGTGTAATGTCTTAGGATTTGTAGATACTTGGGGGAAGTAATAATTATAAGAATGATAGGATCAGATGGTTACTGATGAAACAAATGACATTGGAAAAAGATAGTGGAAAGATGAAGGTTATTAATCACCAACATAAGGTAAAATGGTAAAGCCCAAGAGTTTCCTTGACATCACATAGAGGCTCTCATTTCCTTCAGCTACAGAGTAGAAAAGGCTGAGCATGAGACCCAGGAATTAATTATAAGAGAACCTGCTTCAGAGCAGGTTGCATTCTCAACTCTGGCAGATCTGATATGCCAAGGTCAGAGCACTGATTGAGAGAGAGTGGGACCCTGAAACTTGGAATGGGAACTCCTGGGACAACGTACTAAAGGATCCTAAATTTCAATAATCCTCTGAACTCCTAGGCTGCAATGTCTCACTTCTCATCCTTAATAATCATCAATCTCCTCTTGTTTTGAAGACAATGTATAGATTTTTGATTGACAGACACCAGTTTCTCTACTCAAGATATAGCACCACTTTCTCTACTGACTGCTAGAAAAGTAACTGAAATTGGTTTATAATCCAATCCATAATTCCTAGCCATAAGCAGGCCAGAAAAGTGCAGGGCCTTCTAAGGGAAGAAAGCCATTATATACCAAAGGTACCAAAGGTACCAAAGGACCTAGGCAACATGTATGGGTAGTAGCTTGGAGATTACATATGAGCCTGAATCTTGAGAGTGCTACAACAGGAGGAATGGAATGCGAAACTGGGCAAGGACGTGTTTATCATATGCGATCACTCTCTGACATAGACTTAATATGCCAGCACGAGCCCTGGAAGATGGTACTTTTATACTGCTAGACTGGCCTTAGGATGCTTGGATGCTTGGAAAAAGTGGTAACCCACACTAAGTGAAGTGGAAATTATGAAACTATCAGAACAAACGGTGAAGGAAAGAATTAAAGAGCTAAAAATACCATGTTACGTTCATAGTCTACTCTGATAACAAGTCACAATTCACTCCTCAGTTTCCAGACCCTTAGGTCTGGAAGCTAGTTCTTAAATCTGGAACCACTACCTGAAGGAGAGGCTGATTGACAGTGAGAAAGGAACCTGCAGCACCATGGCAGGCAGACAGATGACAATTTCGTCAGTCCCTCTCCAAAGGGAACCACTACCATTTGCTCAAGTAACCGTGCATTAAAAAAATGAGAATACTCAAATGTATAGATGACTGTAGAAAGTATCCACATTCCTTACCCTTATTAGATTGATGGGTATGGGAGTAAGATGATAAATGTAGTCCTGTCCCGGATCCAACTCAGAGTGAGATCACTTATTCCATGGACACAGCCTGTAGTCATTTGTCTAGTCTCCAAACGTCTGATTCAAATGGATATCTTGGTGGATGGCAAAATCTCCACATTGGTTTCTTGAGCTATAAGATAAGAACTATGTGTAGTGAGGGAAATCAGGGGAATTCTCTGAAATTTTCTCACAAGAGAGTAAGTCGAGACTAATATTGCCCAACTCAATGAATGTGCTAAAACACATTGAATTATGCAGTTTAAATAGATGAATTGTATGATATGTTAATTGTGTCTCATTAAAATGTTTAAAATTGCAATTTGGGAAATGGCATACATTAATGTTACCTTTAGACACCTAGAAGATGCATCTTATCGTATCTCTATTTCATTTACCAATCTGGCACTTAGAGATACCAGATACATCCTCTAGGTAACAGTGGTTACTGAAAACTCAGTTAAGTAGCAACTCCAATTAAAATTGGCATTTCAGATATATTATCTTTACTAGCATAAATTAACATGGACTTGGGGACATGATATATAGCCACTGACCTAGCAAATTTGTTCTTTACATTTCTATCAGGGAAGAGGATCTGAAGTAGTTTATATTCACATGAGATAAACAGTAGCATATAATTATGATCTTGCCCTAGAGCTGCAGTATTTCTGACACTCTGTTGTAGTATAGCTGGAAGTAACCTGCACATTTGGACATTTTCAAAAAAAATCAGATTTGTTAAATTAAATGAAAAAATGCCAATTACACCCGATGAACAAGAAATGGCAAATACATTTTAGGCTTTGATAAGAAAATTATTTCTGATGGCAGCAGAAAGACTCTACAAAGCATCAGTGACATGCAACATTGGTAAAGATTTTGAGTTCAAGAGGGAGGGATTGGTTGGAATCCTGTCATGACCATCATTTTGAAGAAAAATAAAGAGTTCAGTGGTCTGGGTCAGACTGAGACATACAAATATAAAGCACAAAGAATTGTCCAAATTAGAGAACAAAGAACTGCATTTTGAGCTAAAGTAGAGGGATGTGTAATGCCCAGCAGAACTCTTCCAATTCTGGAGGCAGTATATACACCACGCTTGGGAAAACTATATCAGCCCATTTACTGACAAGGAAGTTTGCCGACTTTGAGTGGGGTCCAGAGCAGGAAAGGGCACTGCAACAGTTCCAAGCTGTAGTGCATACAAGCTTTCCTGCTGCTTGGGATCTGTGACCTGGCAGACCCTCTTATATTAAAGTTATCTGTGGTGGGAAATATGCCATATGGCATTTAGGATACCTCCAAGTAGAAGAGTAAGAGGATGGGTTCTGGAGCAATTCCATACTGTCTCATGTTTAGATGATTGAGCATCATTCTAAAAATAGATGTTGGTTTTCAACTAGGTACTGGTAGAAATGGAGCATGTGAACCTGGATGCACAGTTAAAGAGCTACCTACCTTGAGTTGGGTTATCTCAGACCCCCCAAGTCATAGGGTCAAACAGACCTAGCATTAATCAATCCATTGTAAATTGTAATTGGTATCACTTGGAACAAGCAAAAGTAGTGAAGCCAATTGCACAATGGAATAGTTCAGAAGTCTGTGACAGGACCACTGCTGCACCAGTACCCGTCTCTCATCAAGCAGCTATAGTGAATGAGAAGTCTCTTATGGCCAGCTGACACAGGAGGAAGAGAGCCAAGTAAAGTTCACAAATTGGTTGGTTCAGCACAAGGGTGCACGTTGACCATAGACTTTCTACTGCAGGGCCCCTTAGTGGTCGCCTTGAAAGACGATGGCTAGAGGAAATTATAGCACTTAGTAAAGTTTTGGGCAGTGCCTCTGGTCATGTACTTTGCATGAAAATATAAGTAGTCATATATGCATGGTTTCACGGATAATGACCAGTGGGTTGGGTATTTGTTTGGGGCCTTGGAATGAAAAAAATTGTAAGATTGCAAACAAGGAGATTTGGGGAAGATATATGTGGGTAGAATTATCAAAGAAAGCATAGAGTATGACCATTTTTATATTGTATATTAATACTAGAGAATATCCGCAGAAACCAAGTGGAAGAATTATGTAGCTAATCAATGGTTACACAGCTTCTGTTCTTAGCCAGTGCCAAATGGCTGGGGTGATAGCCACTGACAGGGAGCTGCAAGTTGAGTACACTGGATTTCGTCTAGGCTGGAATAACCAGTGACTTGTGTTGACTGAAATCAAAGGTTATTCTGGGTATAGGTTACCTTTTCTGCTTGTATGGCTTTAACCAGTGCTATTCTCCAAAGGCTTACAGAGTTTTGATCCACCAACATGGATCCCACATACAGCAAATAAAATTAAAGGAACCATTTTGAAGCAAAGGAAGTTCAGCAGTGAGTTCATGGTCATAGGATTCACTGGCCCTCTTACATTCTATACTACCCAGAAACCACCAGCTTGATGGAGTAAGAGTAGCTTATTAAAAGTACAGATGCAGCACCAACTTGAATGTATGGATGAGGCACCAGCTTGGATGATAGGGCATTATCTTTCATGACATGACACCACATTGATATTCACTATATTGTATTGTGCTCCCAATATGTAAATACGCTGCAACAGGAACCAAGGGGTGCAAGGAACAGTGGCCTCAATGATCATCAAGCTGAGTGACTTACTAGTTTGTGTTCTGAACCTTTAACTCTAAGCTCTTTTGGCTTTAGAGATTTTTGTTCACAGAGAAGGAACACTTCCTCCCATGAAAGGATACTGTGAGAATCCCTTTAAACATTAAGTCAAAGTTGACCTCTGGTCACTTTAGTCTCCTTACACCTGGAGCTCAGTGGGAAGGGAATGGTGTCCACACCTGGCAGGTATAATTGATCCTGATCTTCTGGGACAGACAAAGCTGATGGCACACAATGTGGGCAGGGAAGGATTCATCTGGCATCCACCTGATGCTCTGGGGTATCTATTAATAGTGGGGGCTCACTATTAACAGTAAATAGGTAAAGCAGCTGTGCCTGAGAAATACATGGGTACTAGGAGCTCTCACTCCTCGTGGATGAAGGTCTGTATCATCCAACCACGTAGGCATCAAGACCAGCAGAGGAGCTAGACAAGGGTGAAGCAAATTTATACGATATATATCATTGAATTTTGCCCCACATTGGAGTTTGTAGTTTGTGTGTGAATCTTCCTCTTGTATGTTTCCCTGGTAGTAGAGACCAACCATAATATTGTAGGAGCTGCCTCCAGACAGGGTGAATTCACTAGATGATATGAAGTTAAAAGATCAGAGACACACAGCAGTGAACTGTAGTGAATGCTGTAGTGTTACACCCAAAACTTTCTTTAGGATCATGCACCTATCAGTCACCTGCTGGAAACGTTGACTATTGACAGCACTTAACTGAATGCCTCTCCAGGTATCACCCATGGTTTGTGGAAGCTTCCTCATTTAAGGTTCTGTCCTTTGCCTCTGGGTAGCTTGCAGCCAACGACTGGTTCATGAAGGGATACAAAGGCTTGGCCTCTGCCTCAATAGAGGCAGCCCTGAAGAGGCATCCCAGCTGTTAGAACTGCCTGGTGATTAAACTCTTCCTTCTGCTCAATCCTGCTTCCCTCGAGCAGATCAGCACGTGTGTTGTTCTCGAGATCACTCCCCAATGCACTGCCTGCACGCTAATCTCCATTTTAGGGTCTCTTTTTGGGGAAACTAACCTGAAGTGTTTGCCAACTCTGCTAGAGTAATACTTCTTTTATTTCTTACCTAGTCATTGTAAAAGTATACCTGATGTTATTCTTTCTAGGACAATAAATAGTCCTTTTAAACCCATATTTAAATAATTCTTTCGGGTCTCCTGAAAGTCTGGTGTCAAATTTCACTGAGCCATCTTTTCTTTGCCTCTTCCTAAGATTGCCAGACCCGGGTACCTGCAGGCACAGCTGAGGAGACCCGTCATTGACTCATCTACTGTTCAAAAGTGCCACAATCTAGTGCCTCTATTGCTACAGCAATGGCATCAAACCTTGCAACAGCCTCTTTTAATATGAAACAACTCAGTTTTTGCTTTACCAAAGCCACCAATTTCCTGTGCTTTTAAGCCTTTGTCTCACTTCAAGAACCACAAAACACAATCATTAACAAATGCCAACAGTATTTCTCAACCTTAATTCAAATTTGATGTTTCAGTTTAGGTTCTACCACAGGAAAAATGTCTCCAGAAAACTGCCTTTTTCGGTTGCATGGATAACTTCTCATTGATAATAAAATAAAGTCCAAACCCCTGTCAATGTTAGGTCCTCTGTGCTTTGTCTTTAAATGAATCTCTGCTCTGATTCTGCTAAACTGGTTGGTATTCAATTAATATCTTGTTCCTTTTTTGTAGTCCTCTCCTCTCTTATAACTCTTCCACCCATTAGTCAAGCCCTGTCTCTGATGTCATTGTGATGAAGTTTTGTATGACCAACAGAGAAAAACAGAGTGGTGGGTCTCCATTGCTCATGGGAGAAAAAACATCATCCCTCCCACAGCTTGGAAGGTCCTGTATGGGACAGCTTCTCTGTCTAACTCCAGCTTTCTCTGGAAACATTGCTTTCTGAGCTTCAGTTCCATTCACATTTTTCTCTTTATCGCACAGATGTTCTTCCCACCAAAGGGTTATTTGGATGCCTTTCCTCATTCTTCTAACATTACTTCTGTCCTGGAAGCTCTAGTCTTTTGCAAGAGCTTCCTCATATTCTTTCAGATCTAATACCATTTTTCCCTTCTTCAGGGAAATTTTACCTTATTTCCCAGAATAGGTAAGAATTCCATTATGTGCTCTCACAGAACATATAATTCTGCTCATAGCTGCAGCTATGTACTAGTTATACTGTATTTCTTATTTAGTGCTTTTCTTACTGACTTAGTCAAGGTTTGGGTAGAAAATCAGAAATAGGTACTTTAGGCCTGGCATGGTGGCTTGCACCTGTAGTCCCAGCAATTTAGGAGGCCGAGGCAGGTGGATCGCTTGAACCCAGGAGTGTGAGACCAACCTGGGCAACATGGCTAAACCTCATTTCTACAAATAATACAAAAAGTTAGTGGGGCATGGTGGCATGCACCTGTGGTCTTGGCAACTCAGGAAGCTGAGGAGGGAGGACTGCTTGAGCACAGGAGGTCGATGTCGCAGTGAGCCATGTTCATACCACTGCACTCCAGCCTGGGCAACAGAGTGACATCATGTCTCAAAAAAAAAAAAAAAAAAAAAAAAAAGACATACCCACTTTAGGTATAACGAGGAAGAAGGAACTAAATATAGGAATGTAAAGCTTACACAAGACTTGGGAAGGGTGAGAAGAGCAAAGCCTGGGAGGAAACTGACATCAGAATTCAGGAACCCATAAAGTGCGGGAGTCATGTGTGATCTGGGCTGAGCCTCTGTGGTGAATTTCCGAGCTAATGCCTAGAAGCTGCTGGCAAAACCTCCTATGAGCCATCTGCCGAAACCCATGCAGTTTCCTTACACGCCATAGGAGACTACTACCTTCTGCTTGTTTTCTTCCTTCTAAATCTCTTGTAAACCCCTCTCATTACCAAAATCTAATATTCTGGTAGGCATTTTAACCAATGTAGTTCCAAGGCATCTAGAATAGTTTTGACAAACATTTCTATAAAAAGCCAGATAGTCAATATTTTAGGCTTTGCTATTATAGTGTATAAAGCACCCATAGACACTAAAATTTGAGTTTTGGATAATGATTACATGTTACAAACTCTTATTTTTCATTTGATTCTTCCCCGAAACCATTTTAAAATTAAAAATGATTCTTAACTTGTGATCAGGACAAAATAGGTAGCAGGTTAGACTCGGCCCACGGGCAGTTGTTTGCCAACCCTTCTTCCAGACCCTGTAAAAGAGAAGGGTGGAAGTGGAGCTGACATGTCAATAATCTTATACCTAACTAAACAAAACTGCAATTATTTTAGCATTTCAACGATGTCATAGATGTGAGTTCAGGAAGAGGCAGTGAAGAGCAGGAGCGGACACTATAGCAATCTGAGCCACCATTCCTGAAATTTACATGTGGCTTCTTGACCTCCTCAGACTCAGTCTTATGTTAATATATATCAGCTACAGTTAATCATGAAAAATTTGCACACATCCCATTTTATACTTCTATGGTTCAGATAGCACTCAGTTCTTTATGGAAGCTCCATTCCTTTAGTCACTGGTGTTCCATACCACAGTCAGCTGCTCCTTTACACTCAGGGCCAAACTAAAAGCAGCCTAACCAATGGAGGATAGTAGTTTGCAGAAGAGGAATTAGCCTTACTCTAAAACCTCAGGGGTCTGTGTTGTGATGTCATTGTTGCTGGCAACAGACTTTCTCCCTTTCTGCTACAAATACTTCAAGTACAATTCACACCGAGGGGTCACAGGCCTAAGTGATGGGTCAGCTTGCGCAGAAGCCTGGACATGCTGCATAACCTCATTTTGCTCTAAATATGTCTTGGAACAGGTAGCTGTATAGGTTACCTGGTAGAAGGACCAGAGCTGTATACCCAAAGGTGGAATTTGTTGCATCCCAATTTCAATGGCACATGCTGAATGCTAGAGCTCTTTTTTCCATGGGCTTTGAAAAGTGAGACAACTTGTCTCTCATTTGAAAAAGAATATTCTAGCATTTTCACAGCACTGTCACACTAGAAACCTCATATTATCACAAGCCTATGAACTTCCACATAGTTTGTCTCCTTTACTTGGTCATGTGTTTTTCTTCCTAAGGCGCCGGGTTAGTTTCTTCCTGATGACATGCTAAAATTAATATGCTCCAACATGGTATTCTGTAGGGTATCAAGACAATCAAGATCCCTCTAAACCTGGAAGCAGCTTTTCAAAGTACGTGTCTGCAACAATAAAGTAAGGAGCTTCCACCAGCATATAAAGCAATGTACTACTCTTTCATCAAAAAAGGAAAAAAAATTGTCAGCTGTGCAAAACAGTGTGCTTAGCGGTATAGTTCACATTCTGGTGCAAACTTCCTAATTCACTGGGGACAAATAAGAAACATGGACCGGAATACAGTGCACAGATGACACTTTGAGGATCATTGCTCTAGTCCAGACCTCAACACGACAGAGATCAGATATTGTCTTGATAAAAGACAGCAAAGTTGTACTGCTAACCCTCTGGGCGAAGGTGAGGTGTTGTAGGTTATATTTGTTGATGGAAACTAAAAAGGAAGCATTTGCTAGGTCAGTAGGTTCATATTGCATGCCAGAGGCTGATGTGTTTTAGTAAAGGTACCAGCCATTTCTTGCTTCAGATTTCCAGGTTTCCACTTCCTCAGGGCAAAAACTCTGTCTATGCAACTCATCAAGTGTTTAAGTGACTCAACTCCATATACTATTTGATGAACTGTGTTTTAGGGGAACTTCTGGAACCAATTATAGTACAAGTCAAGAGATCAGCAGGAAATTGATGGCATACTCAAATAGTTAACTGAAGGAAGGATGTGTTTACTTTTTAAAAAAGACTATTCACAGTAGTTCTAGAAAGGCTAGGGGACCAATAAGGGTTGGTAAAGCACCCAGGAAGTAACAAAATCTAGAAGTTATTATCATCCCTGGGCCTGAAAGGGAACAAGAATAAAGCAGTATTATTGGAACCTGGAGAGCTGAAGCTATGGGACAAATGGCTGCCTCCCAGGACATTGGTAGAGGAATGTCAGCCATTATAAAATATGTGGACCAGTATGGGGAATGTGCCACTTCCGTTTCCTCCCACCAACTGGTCTTTTGTTGGTGCCTCTTTGGCCAAACCCAGCTCTAAGGCAGACGGCAAGGGACCCCAGGCAATGCAGTTAGTTCCAAGAGGTTAGCCTCTCATGACAGAGAACTAAGTAGAGAATGCAAAAACTGATGCTTAAGAGGCAAATAGAGAATAACATTCATTCATCCATGAGAAAGTTTTGCTAAAATAGGTTATATCTCAACAATCAAATATCATACAGCAATTTTTAAAATGAACTAGATTTCCAATGTAAATAAATCTCAAAAACATCATAAGAGAAAAACAGCAAGCAGCAGCAGGATACTCACAGTCTAACATTTACATAACATTTAAAATCCAGTAAAACCATATTTTATGGATATGTAAATATGGAGGAAAAAGATGTTCTTGCAGCTGGGAATGCAGTTCTGTATACATTACTGTTATGGGTTGAATATATCTGAAAATATCTCCATTCTATCCTCACACTTGAATAATTTGGCTGGGTGTGTTACATATTGCTGCATGTTGTGGGTTGGGCTGTATCCTCCAAAAATATATATTGTCTGAATCCTCAGTACCTTAGAAGGTGATCATATTTGGAAATAGAGTCATTGCATATACTATCAATTAAGTTAAAATGAGGTCATATGATAGGTGGGCCCTTAATCCAATATGGCTAGTATCATAAGGAAAGAAGAGACGTTGGGAGAACAGCGTGTGAAGATGGGACAGAGAGTGGCGTGACGTGGCTACAAACCGGGAATGCTAAGGATTGGAAGCTAGGAAGAGGCAAGGAAAGATTCTCCCCCTACAGGTTTCAGAGGAGAAATGATCTCGCCAATGCCTTGATGTCAAACTTCTAGCCTCTAAGAACTGAAAAAATAAATTTCTGTTGTTTTAAGCCACCCAGTCTGCAGTACACTGTAACGGCAGTGATGGAAGTCTAATACATTCTCAGGACTGTTACCCAAGATGAGTGACATGCTTTGAGGCTATCCAGCTCTGATGGGTACAGATGGATGACTCAGTCCAGCTTAAGCTTTCAGACAAGGGCATCTATTTCTTTCCTGCCTGCTGTGCTTCAGGCTCCAGCTGTGCAGACACAGTTTGACTCTATTCTCTCCCATCTTCTCTGGCACTCCCCAGGTCACACAATTTCAGCCCCCGTTCACTGCTATGGCTTTCTCTATGTTTCTTTTTGGAAAAGCTTCTCCATTTCTGATTTATGAGATTTATCTTTCTAGTTTTCACAGTAGGCTCTATATTTATAAAATATGTTTGTATATTGCTATCATTTGTGAGTTTGGACTGGAATGGAAGAAGATTTTGTTTATGTTCAATCTGTGATATTGAACTGGATGCATGCAATAGTCTCCTTAGGCCAGATTTATTTTTTGTTTCTCATGGTCCTGAGTTAATTTACTTACTAAATTCATTGAATTCAGGAATACTATAAATGAAGTGCCAAAGTACTTAGGGGAATGAGCTATCCAGTGTACTCAAAGGAAAATCCTGGAAAGTTCCCAGGAGCTGATGCCTTGGGGTTTCATTTATTTGTCTGCTTTTTTAGAAACAGAAACATTGTATGATATAGTGGGGAAAACACAGGAGAAGAAGGAAGCCTGGATTCTAGGCCTGGCTTAAATTATATCTAATAAACATGTATTGAAACTTACCATGTGTGATGCAATGCGTTAAGCTCTCAATTATGCAGTGTGAGGATGGAAAGAATAGAAGACAGTGATGAATAAAATATTCAAAATCCTGGCTCTGGCTTGCAAAGCTCTGGGCACTGTGGACCACTCTCACTGACCTCATGTACCACTGCCAGTGTGCTCCAGCTTTGTTAGCCACTTTCTCTTTCTTGTACACATCCAACTTCTTCCCATTTTTAGAGCTGTGGATTGAAAGCATCCTTTCCCTCATTCTTTCTGGAGATTCAGGTCACTTGTCAAAACACCACCCTTTTTGAAATCACTCTGCTTAGCACATATCACTATCCAACATTTATCTTGTTTATTTGATGTACATATTTTGTTGGTCTTTCTGCCTTTCCTCTCTGGTTTCATTTCCATGGGTATCATTTTAGACAGCATAAGATTTTGATTTAAACACTGTTCTATATTCCCTTTCTTTGCATACTTCTGTTAGGTTGGCGCAAACGTAACTGCGCTTTTTGCATTGTTGGAATTTGCCATTTGATATTGGAATACATTCTTAAATAAATGTGGTTAAGTTATACATCATTTTAATGGGAATTTTTTGCTAATGACTTATTACTTGCTGTTTATTTTAGACTATGGAAATGATGCTGGACAAAAAGCAAATTTGAGTGATTTTCATATTCAAGTTCAAAATTGGTCATAAAGCCGTGGTGATAACTTGCAACATCTACAGCACATTTGGTTCAGGCACTGCTAACGAACATAGAGTGCAGTGGTGGTTCAAGAAGTTTTGCAAATGAGCGGAGAGGTGAGAAGCTCATTTTGCAAATGAGCTTGAAGGTGAGAAGTGTAGTAGCTGGCCATCAAAATTGAAGGTGAGAAGTGTAGTGGCCGGCCATCAAAAGTTGACATTGACCAATTGAGAGCAATCACTGAAGCAGATCCTTTTAGAGCTACATGGGAAGTTGCTGAAGAACTCAGTATTGCCCATTCTGTGGTCATTCAGCATATGAAGCGTATTGGAAAGGTGAGAAAGTTTGATAAGTGGATGCCTTTATGGGCTGAGCAAAAACAAACAAACAAAAATCATCGTTTTGAAGTGTCATCTTCTCTTATTTTATGCAATAACAATGATCAAGAACCATTTCTTGACTGGATTGTGACATGTGATAAAAAGTGGATTTTATATGACAACTGGTGAAGGTCAGCTCAATGGTTGGACCAAAAAGAAGTTCCGAAGCTTCTTGCACCAAAAATAGGTCATGGGCACTTTTTGGTGGCCTGCTGCCAGTCTGATTCACTATAGCTTTCTTAATCCCAGCAAAACCATTACACTGGAGAAGTATGCTCAGCAAATCGATGAGATGCATTGAAAACTCCAATGCCTGCAGCTGGCATTGGTCAACAGAAAGGGCCCAATTCCCATGACACTGCCCCACCGCACATCACACAACCAATGCTTCAAAAG